ACAGGTGGAGAGGTGGGATATGGTGGGGTAGCCTTCTGAAAAATTGCATGTTGATGGACGAGTATCCTGCATCATTTATGATCGTTTATGTCTTTGTTCAATCTGGTCGTGGCTGTGTGACGGGTCTTTTTTTTTCAGGGGATCAGGACCTTTGCTCTCATTTTAAACGTAAGATTTGTAAGTATTTCGAAAGAAGACCTGCTGTTCAATCCCACCACATCACTTATATTGGCAGCTGATCCCAACCAATCAAATAGATGAGCATCATTTTTCATGGCCCCAAGAGTACAGTGCGGCGTATAGGCAAGTAATGTGTCACTGTGTAAGTGGTACGCAAGTAAACGCACACATCATTACCTTGATTTTGTGCCCTTCACCTGTACCTGAAACGAAGTGCCCCTCTCCCCATGCCACCTAGGCACCGCCGTTCTCATCCGCTATGGGGAAACCTCACACTCGTCGCGTGTGGGGACCTCAGAATGTTTGCAGTTGAGGTACTGAAGCCCGAAGGGTGTATATAAGTGGACCAAGCCTCAGTCGGTGGATGAAGCATGAGCTTCATGGTACCTGAGCGGATTTTTGCGGATTTGGTTCCGGGGAGCCAAATGTGACTCTTCGTTAGCCACGGTGAGTTCGCCACACATGGTTCTCCATGGTGTTTCCCACCCCAGCTGCTTGCAAGACGTTTTTCTATCGGATAGAATTGTGTAACATCTATCTTGTGTAACATCACCACCCACCACTGCCAGAAGGGCTTCACGTGGTGCACCTTTCTGTTTCTATCCATCGCAGCTTTTCTGGCGGTGCACCGGCCCAGCTCCTCCTTGAGACCTCTTCGCGCGCGACGGTTGACGTCCGTGGACCAGCGACCCCTCTTCGAGGCGACCCGCAGCTCTCCTCCCTCGGTGGACGACGTGGAGCGGGTCTTAGAGGCCGAAGTCCAGGCGATGGGCTTGGAGGCGCCGCACGCGGCCGCACGGTGGCGGTGGTGGCCTAAGGGCACCCGTTCCACGACGTGACGGCAGGGCGACGTAGCACCTAAGGGCCATCACCCCACGGAGGTGATGAAGCAGGTCTTGGATCTTGGAGTTGATGAGTTGAAAGGTGGAAAATAGGTTGAAGTTTGACCTGGACTGGGGATCCCAGTACCAAAAGACTGGACATGCAGGGCAAATTCTGTGCCAACGACCGCCAAAGACCCTATTGTTCTTTGTTGCATTGACACCCTATGCGGCCCCCCTCGCCCTAGACTCCAGCGGAAGTGGCGAAACGAACCATTGGCGTGTTCATCTCTTTTCATTGTTCCACAGAACATTTGAATAGAACTCAGTCGAATTCGTTTCGGAGACATGAAATATGCCGGCCCAACATATGCAGGGAATGTCTCGGCGGAATTCTTCGAGATCTTTCTTCTTGGATGCATTTCCACATGGCCGCTATATTCACATGGCCAGGATCTGGAGCATCTGGATTCCCTGGAAGTCGCCCAACTCTCTGGACGCCTGGAGTGCCTTGGAAGACTCTGATTGGAGAAGGAAGAAGACTCAGATCGGTAGGAGATTCGCAGTTTCTGAGACATGAAAGAACACCAAGAGAATTCCATAGATGTTTTTTTGTTCTGAAAGGAACGCATCCAAAACAGCTCCGTTGGGAAAAGCGTTTGACTCTACATCATCATTGTTTTTCTTACAGGAGGCCTGTGTCCTCTTTGTGCGGTGCAGTTCTAAGTGGACCCTGCTTTGACGGATGAACCAGGAGGTCCTGCAAACCCTCAAACCCTATATACCAAGCCTTGCACCCGGGCAAGCCCCCCTGGGATTTGAAACTCTTTGACGTCAAAAGCCGTGGACACATTGGAATGACTTCAAGTCAAGTGAGTGGTAAATCCAGGTAAATCTGCCAGGAGGGCTGCTGAATCAACCAGGGTCGCCCATTCGACACCCGTGCGCTTCATTGCCCTGGCGCTGTTGGCGCTCAGTCCGTATTCGCAGTCAGCTGATACGACAGAAATGCTCATGGACTTGGGCGGAAAAGCAATCTGATGTTTCAGACCTCTCGATTCTTCTTCCAGACTCCCCACCAAATCTCTTGCATCAATTTGCATCAACTCCTTTAGTCCACCAGTCCTACTTCAGTCCATTCCACTTCCCTTCCGTTTTCTTCAACTCGATTTGACTGACCACTTACATCCACTCACCCCCAGCCAACATCTCCATGTCCTCCCCCTCTCTTCAAACCACTTTCGCCCCCTCCACCTCCACCTCCATTCTCAGGATCTACCCGATCCACCTAAGCCCACCGCCTCCGTCGCCCCAGGCGCCGCTGCGGGCTGCGCCTCGACGTCTACGGCTCCGAGCCCTCGCTGCGCGCGTGGGCGGAAGACGCGGTGAGGAGGGACGGCGTGCGGAGCGCGTGCGTCAGCGCGGTGGAGCGCGGTGGAAGCATTCAGTGGCCAATTTCCACTGGAATGTTCCATTGGAGCCGAATTTGGTTTGCTCATTGGGACATGAGACATCCCGCGCAGTCAGGTACAGGTCCAGTGCAGTTCACTTCCTACGCTTCAGATTGCACCGCACACGGCCGCAATTGTGGGAGATAATTAGGACCCGCGTGGGCCTAGTTTCTGCAAGGGTACCACAGGTACCCCCTACCGCTACCTTTACACCTTTGTCATGGCAGGAGTTCTTCCTCGTGGGTCCGGTCCGTGTTCCGTCTGGCACAGCGAGACAAATCACCTGTGAACCTGAAACAGCTACCAACCGACCAACCCAATCCCCCCCCTTGCGGCCTTTGAGCCAGCTTTCTCCCCTGAGAACCAAGCCGAGCCGAATGCCCCCATAGGAACGCCCAGAGCAAAAGCACCTCCGCAGCGCATGGTGCGGCACGTCACCTGGAAGCCAAGTGCGGTGGATGCAGGACACCTGGGTGGAGCAACGAACCAATGAGGGGTTGCTACATATTACCATCTGAGGAGGAAGATCGCAGGGATTTGAATGGATACGCAATGGTGCAAAGCCTCCCAGGTGTATACCAGATGCTTCTGCCCAGATTTGCATAGTCTATGTTGGCCATTCGCAGGAAGAGTTAGTTGATGACTAGCCATCAGCAACACCGCTTTTCAACAAAGCAAGAAGAGATACAGGATCCAAACTCTGCTGGTTTCCCCGTAGGTTTCACCATCTTCATTCGGACATCGCACATGTTTTCACCCAGACAACATGGGCAAATCCCGACGGCCCCAGAGCTGGGTGCAGTCTTCCTGAGGTGCTTTGGGGCTACCAGAGCTGCGAGGCTTGTTGCAAGAGACCCTGGCAGAGGCGCTGGGGAGTGGAGGGGTTGGTGGGCTGGGCGCTTTAGTCCATGGAGTTTTCAGGACATGTTTGGAACTGTACCTGGTCGATCCTGGTGGTAGGAAGATGATGGTATCTGCAGCTCAGGCAAGTTCATTCCGAGTGCTTCCAGGTTTTCTGGCAAGCTGTGTGCAGATTTCATGGACAAACCTGTGCACCACTCTAGGTTTACTTGGCAACCTCGAACTTTATCTCAGAGATCAAGCCATGCACATCTCAGGTATCAGAATTCCAAACTCCCACCGCTCCGATTCGCGGCTGTTTCGCGTCTTTTGTCTGGAAAACGTTTGAAAGCACTGATGTTGCCGGGCGGAACTCGACCCCCAACACGAAACCGCCCCCCCAACTGCAGTTCCCTCTCCCCTCTCCCCTCCCACCGGGATCCAGTCCGGCCAAGGTGGGCGGCACCGCGACGTCCGGCAGCGCCAGCAGCGCGAGGTCTGGCGGCAGCTTGCAGGACCTGGGTCTGGACTCTCTGGACTTGGTGAGCCCGGCCAACTTGGAGAAGACGAAGTTCCGAAGGGCGGGGGGAAGGTTCCCGAACTGACCATCAGTTAGATCGGAGTGGGGTTGCCAGTAGATGACCTTTGATCAAGTTCGCAAGCGGCGGAGTGGATTTGGCGGGAGTGAGATTGCCAAGGTGGTGTCCCTGATGTCCGATGGGAGCAACAGACGCCCAAGTTGCGGTGAAACACTTCATTGAAGCGTCCGCGGCCAGGCGCGCTTGCAGTCCACCATCCAGAAGCGTTTCGGCATCGAGCTCGCCTTGGAGGCAAGAAGGTGTGTTGAGGCAAAGGGGAGCAAGTCACTCCATCAGTCTCACGAATTCTCTATTCACTGCAGGGGTGTTGCACTGGACAGAATGGGACTTCTCGCATCTGGAGCTTTCTCCAGCTTGGACTTTGCCCATGCATACCACCTGATCGGGACAAGTAAGAGCTCTGATTCCGGGTGGTCAAATCAATCTATTTGCCATTGCCAGCAAACCCAGGGTTACAATTGGGTCAAACAAACCGCTGGATGGATCGCACAGTGCTTAAGTGGATGGATCGCTGGTGATGAGGTAGACTTTGAAGTTTTTTTATAGTTCTTTTTCCAGGAGAACCACAACGGGGTCCTTGTAACATGATGCAAATACGCATTGACACCAGGACGCCGGGCATGTATATGTTTTGTTAGCCTTATCAGCAGGGAGGCGATCCAAGCAAATGATCCTTGAGGTTGAGGGAAGACCAAGCAGTTACAGTAACATTTTCTTTATGCCTGGCACCCGGTGTGTTACGACCATTGGAGTCTTCCTAAGTCAATCAGGGCTCCCGTCTTGCCAAGGCAAAAGCCTTGCAAGCAAAAGCTGGGCGAAGTTAATGGGTTCACCATGGTTCACCCACTGGGCAACTCCTGGGACGTGTACTCACAGAAAAAGAACTGGTCTTCTTTGCTCAAGCTGAGCCGAATCGCATCAAATCTCATGCAGATCATCACACTGAAACGCCAGGGTCTTGCCAGCTGCAGAGTCTCACTAATACTATCCATTTGAGTATACAACGCATGGCCATGGCACACCAACAAAACAGCAACACCCCCCTCCCCCTCCTCAATGCACCACCCGAGCCCAAACCGAAACCCCCCAAAGCGAAAGCTTCCGACCGCCCCCCCCCGAGTCACCGACCCTTAGCCCCCCCGAGTTGCCTCCCATGGCTCGTCTCTTGCGACGCCCGCTGCTTCGACGTGCTCGTCCGGTGGCTGTGGCGGTCTTCGTGATGGCTCCATTGCTGGGCGCCTGGAGTGCCAGGAGGGGATGGAGGATGGAGACCCTGGCTCTGCACGGGAGGGCAGTGGTGGACAAAGTGCCAAACCGCAGAGTAGAATGGACATGGACATGGAATATTACATAATTAATTAAGATAAATTTAAATATCTTGGATCATCTTGGGTGCGTATGGCGTATAGAGGCATCCGTTTCAACTGACCTCTAAGGGACTTTCTGATCAGCGGATGGGTAATCAGATGGTCATCAGCTGTGCTGAAAACACTACTGCACTCCCTCAATGCTCCCTTTCTACGCGGTATCCATCCGCGACGTCTACGTCTACGTCCCCGGTTTGGGGGAACGCAGGATGGCCAGGAATTGTTGGAATATCATTTTTCTTTGGTAGAGTTGCAGTTTTTCCATGCTTTTTCTGGTGTACCTAGAATATATTCAGCTCAGATATTTTTTTGCTCAGGAGTATGGACTGCGAAGGTCTAGTTTGGCTGGCACTTTCCAAAAGTCTTATTTTGTTTTTGGAGCCATGTTTGTGGATCCACATTAGGCATCCCAGGCAGAGTTTTGGGGGCGGGTGGCAGCAGACGTCATTGGAGACGTTTGCTGAGGATCTTTTCTTAACATGCTCGAAGCTCAAGTAAATCCTAGGCACAGAAATGCTTACAACCTCAGTTGCTCGCATGTGCCCAGACATGCTCTGCGAGGTTGTGATGGGTCAAGAAACCTCAAGGGTCCCCCATCTCCATAAAGCCTCGCTGGCCGACGCGCTGGCGCGCTGGCGCGCGCTGGCACGCCAGGGCCATGGCAAAGCCGCCGCTGATGGCGATGGAGAAGACCATGGACTTGAAACGCTTTATGGGCTCCTGGTCTCTTGGATTGGCACTGACCTCGACTGATGATGGACCCTCCAAGGTTTTTCCCTCAGATTCGGGCCATGTGAGTTGTTGACAGATGCTCGAGAACTTTCTGGCAAAGTCAGATTTGGGGGTGAAGTATCCCAGAAATGCTCCTCAGCAACCACCCGCGGAGGACCCCGCATCTTCTTGTTTCTCCTCAGGTACGTGCTGGCGCACATCCCAGTGAGGTTGGTCAAGGCTCCGGGTGAAGGGAATGTGGTCGGTCGCCGTGGTGGTGGGTCGCAAGGGATGAAGATAGGCTGCCAGCCATTTTGGCACAGGCACAGTGGTGGGAACGGGCGTCGTTTCATGTAGGTCACGATCAGGGAGAAGATTTGGCCGATGGATTCCTCAAGATATCCATGGATTTCCCAGTCTTCCTGAGGCCAACTTGATTGGCAGATCTGGGATCCAACAGACTGACCCTCATGGGATTGGGATTGCTGTTCAGGCTTGCTTTACCAGGTCCCGCGCATCCACAAACCAATGCCGACCACCATCGCTCCGAACGGGGGCCACTGGGATCAGGATCGCTCCTTTCTTTAGCACCTTTGGGGGCCACCTTTCACAGGTGCATGAGACAGGTGCACTCGTACAGCCCAGCCAAGCTGTTGGAGTGTGCTGCTCTAGAAGCACCTTCTGCGACACCATCTCTTTCTTTTTAAACCACACCATTTCCACCTAGGTGGGGGGGCACCCCAGGGCACGGCGGAGGATTCATGGGCCGTGAAACTCCAGGAACATTTGGCGCACAACGCGGTAGAGACTTATTCCTGGGATGAAGCAAAGGAGAGGATCAGCGTGCACTACAGGCGGTTCTGAGGGGAAGTGGGTGAGTGGTTCGGGTTGTGAGGGGGGCGGATGAGGGAAGCCTGGGGCTTCCTCAGCTTAGGAAGGGAAGACGAGAAACCCTTTTCCTGGGCAAGCTCTTTCCAGGAACTGAAGTGAGAACGTCGGTGAAGAAAGATGTGCAGGGTCGGGTTGAGAAGGCGGGTTCAGGAGGATGGATCTGTGGTTGATCTCGTCGAGAATCGCAGCTTCATTCCTGATATCTCTAGATACACGGAATCGGAATCGAGTCAAGCGTGCAAAAGCACCACTCAGCAGAAGGTCACTTTCTTTCCTTTCGAGGATCCACCTATGCCCGGATACACCCGACATCAACATGATGTTAGCTGAGAAGCTCAGTACCCCAATAGAGGTCCATGGGCGGGTGACAAAGGGAGTGCTACAAGCACTGGAGTCCGACCCAATGGTTCAAGCCGACCCCTGCAGTCTGCTACAGGTTCAATGAGAACGCTGATGATGGGCCGCTAAATGACAGCTACCAGCGAGGATGGGTCAAGAACAAGGAGTGGCGTGACACGCTGCTGTTGGTCTTCTTTTGGTTGTGCAGCAGGGAGAGATTCAAGAGCTGGACCATTGAACTTGTTCCGGTTTCCTTCGGTGTGCATTTTGGCTGGATGGATCTACTGTAATGCCATTGAGTCTATTCAAATCAGCAATGAATGCCGTTCCTCCACATTCATGTGGTTCATGATACGAAGAAACCAATGAATTTCAAGAGCTTCCTGACGTCTTTCAGGTTGCTGAACAATTTCTTAGCTGCTCATCTAACCAGGAGACCTTTGCTGAGTGGCGCGTCTCTCCCAAGTTGCCCATTTTTGGCTACGGCATGAGCAGTGCCGCTTGGAGGAAAGCTGTTTGCGCTTTCTGGTGGTCCATTGAGTGAAAGAGGATTTGGTGGAGCTGAGAGTTTTGGAATGAGTAGACCAATGATTCGAACTTCTGACATGTTTGTTTGGGTGTTTGAGAAATGCTCTTTATGGCGTCCTTTCTCTAGATTCTCTAGATTTTCTGGTTGATGCATGACAAAGTGGCTCTCGGCTAGGTGATTCTACCCATTGCAAGGGAATGTGGACTTTTCAATTTTCCATTCCAGATTAGTGTACCCCCAATCAATCGGCTTGGTTGTCTACTGTTCCCTTTTCCAGGCATTTGTGTCCAATCGGTTTCCTTCGCTTTTGCTACAGACCCCAGGTTTTGAGATTGCCATACATCATCGTCGATTGCGCGGATGACTACAACACAGCCACTGGTCGATTGCGTGGCGCGGTGACGTGTCGCCGCTGCGAGGACATCCATCAGACCTCCGGTGCCTCATATAGCACTTTAGGTGCCTCATGGTGCCTCTACCTCACTTTAGGTGCCATCAAGAAAAACCGCTGCCTTTCAACAAATTCACTGCGCCGCCTCCCCACTGTTTTCGTCCTACCTTCCTGTGTTGTCCTACTTCCTGCTCACCTGCTGCGGAATTGGCCGGAAGTGTCACAGTTTGTTCACGGCGGCCTGTCGGTGTGGTGTTCCCCTTGTCCCTCAAACGAAGCAACTCCACACATCTCATGATTTTATCCCATGGGTTTTGAGGGGTTTGGGAGCAGCTCTAGCAGTGGCTACTATATCAGACATTTGTTGGGCTGAGTGGTACGATTATTCGCAATACTATGGTTTGAACTGTCGTTGTGTTGGTTGGTAGACTGCTCCAAGCAGCTCGCTTGCAGCTCTGGCACCGTTTAGAGGCTCTAAAAACAGAGGCGTCTTTGGCATTTCGGAGCGTACAGTGTTGCTTGGTCATGGGCTGCAAACCCACAGATAGCCCATCCAAGGCCATCGTGGGCTATCCGAACCGAGCTTATCTGTGGATTCTGAGCCGGACGCTTGCCCCAGCATTCCTTAGCATCAGAGATGTGCGTGTTCAATTTTTTGCTCAAACATCGTTGCGTGTTGTTTCGACCCAAACACGGGGTGGGTATCCACAACCATCCACAACCCCATTTCCATTTGCAAAAGAATGATTCATGAAGTACCGCACCTTGCTTTCTCGAGTGCAGGCAGGGTTCCAGCATTCCCGTCTGCCAAGCCCTAATCTGTTGGTGGCCTGTTTTCTCCCCAGATCCCAAATCCCATTGGTTTGGACATCACCAGAAGATAGCAGAAGAAGTACAGCCTAGTAGCATAGTAGTGCAGGTGGCCTTCGGGGGTGTCTTCGCAGAGTTGCTGAGATCACCTTGGAGAGTAGCCGAGGGTGTGAATGCAATTGTACTTGACCCCTTCTGACTTGAGGCTTCTTGAGTTCGGTGGGATGCAGCAGCGTGGTTGGCTGACTTAGGTTCTTTTTTTACATTTGTGGGTACGTGCTTCCCCCTCTTTTTTTCAGACTGGTTGGGGGAACCAGCCACCGAAGCACTCACTGGAATCATCAAAGATCCACCGATTAGTCAGTGCAGCCTCTCCACGGCCAGAGAGCCACTCTTTCAACCGCTGATCTGCTGGTTCTGCCTAGGAGCCCCACAGTCTCCAGCAAGGACTACGATGCACTGACACTTGATCTCATGGCATAGCCTCGTTTGTGGGCTGGGAATGCCTTCTGGTGTGGTATCGCACAACACCAGCATGAAGGTGAAATCAGGCACCTAGTCAACTACTTGCCGTCATTTTATCACGAAAGGTAGCGGTTACGCTACCTGAGTTTTCCTTTTGCTTTAGCAAAAATGTATTAACCCAGAGCTGCAGCCTATCTCTCGGAGAAATGGTCCCCGACATCTTCGTTTACTGGCCGGGGGGGGGGCCCCCCCCCCCCCTTTCAACTCCACCCTAGCGCGCCTCGGGGTCAACCGTTCGAAAACATTGTAAATATCAGTGTTTTCAGCTCTTCCAGTCCTCAGCAGTGACCAAAAATCATGGAATTTACAGCGTTTTTTGTGGCTGTCCGGCAAAAAACACCGCAAAAACCGATGGTTTTTGATGCGTCTCGGTTAGAAAAATGACCGAAAAAAGACCAAAAACCAGGAAAGATTTTGTCAGAAAGGGTTTTTGAGGCTTTTGGAGGCTTCAAAATTGCACAAAACTATGGTATTTACAGGGTTTTGTGCACCTTCCCGGCAGAAAACGCCGGTATTTACACGGTTTTCTGCGCTTTTCCAGCGCTCAAGCGTGGTGCGCCTTTGGATCGACGGCTCCAAAATATTGTAAATACCAGTGTTTTCAGCTCCTCCTGTCTTCAAGCGTGGCCTTAGACCTTGCCGCGGCTGTGGATCGACGGCAACGAAACCTCGTAAATACCAGTGTTTTTGAGCACGTCCTGTTTGCAAGCATGGCCTGCGGCCACGCAATTTACAGGGTCGCCGCACGTCACTATGTAAATCCGAAGTTGCATTTGAGAAATTTGTGACTCCTTTTGAAGGCACGTCAACCTGTATTGAAACCGCTAGACCGCTACAGCTTCTGGAGGTTTTGTCAAGCGTTTGTGCACTAGTCTTTCTTTCATCACGCTCACTCACTTCTCTTCAAACAAGTGGGGGGCCTCTCACCTCCTCCCGGATTACGCCTGATTCCCTGCTACCTTTCGTTCACCCCCCTCCTCTCTCAAGTTCCCTGCTCGATCAGACATGCACGTAGCATCGCCGTTGGGAAGTTGTCAGCAGGGAGTTTCCGTGTAGCTCACACATCAGAAGCCAGCTGAAAAGTATCAGCGGCCTGCGACTTTGTTACAAGCTGACCCTCCGCCCAAACCTCTCTGCGCCTATCAGGCAAAAAACACGTCTTATTTGTCCTAGTGAATGACAGTCTGGAAGAGTTCTGAGGATTGAAAAGAGCAAAGGCTTTGGCTATGACGAGTCGCCACTTGGAAAGACTTGCGTTGGAGGCGTTGGGACGGTTTTGACTGGCACTTGGCCCCAAAGAGATGGGCATCCAGAGGTTTAGACGATCTTCTGTTGAACATGTTCTCCTTGTCCTAGAAGTCCTAGAAGGATCTTTCATTACTTTTCAATGGTGAGTGCCGGAAGGTTCCGTTCCGGTCCAGCTCCCCTGGGATTCTCCTACAACGATTGGCTCAGCCAGCCATGTGGCGCTTCCTCTTCGGCTTGAAACGTTTTTCTGGACGGGAGCCCGGGGTCTTGGACTATGAAGGTGTGGCTATAGGGACTAATCTGGGAAGCTGCCATCTCAGTTCACCTGAATCACCTAGTTCAGGTAGTTCACTTACCTTCCCAGAAGGCCATTATTTAGACCCGTATACTAAGTACACACCATATCTTCCGCTTGAAATCATCGATTTTCAGAGTCAGTCAACTCCACTAGAGAATCATCCCACCGACTGGTCAACTCGGTGAAGACTCCCTCGCTCAGGAAGATCCGCCGCGTGCCGCAGTCCGAGAAGGGTGAGGTCTTCCAGAGCCCTCCGTGAGCCCGCGTGACGCGCGTGATGCGGTGGAGACACCCATTTTTCGGCGGCAGCTGCCTGAGCAGAGCAACTTCGGAGAGGGATGAAGGATGTGAAGAGAAATGGTTGGTGCGAACATGGAAACAGAGGGAAACAGGATGAGAAGGGGATGATAAGCTTCATGTGCTCAATTGTCTTACTTCTTGTAAGGTCTGTTTCGATGCTGGAGAGATGGTGGCCCTGCTTGTTTAGAGTAGTATAGGACCTTGTTTGACACTTAATTTCCTGAAGCTGTCCTCAGTTGCTCAGGCAGATCCTGACAGACATGCTGCCAGTTTTAGTGCGAAAGAAGCACAGCCTGCAAAAGACAGCTAGCAAAACAAGGCTGCTATGCTTGGTGTTGCCCCGGTCGACATGGTCTTTGTCAACAGGCCATGTTTCTTTGTTTAACATTAAGTCCGTGACCAGCAGTACTCCAATCGAGAGAGAGATGAACCCATGCTTGAGTGTCGCAGAACATGCAGAAAATATTAAAGGTTTCTCACAACAAAGCGAGACTAGCTGCTAGCTGCTAGCTGCTATTCTGGCCGAACAGAACTAGCTAGTGTGACCAGTGCGGAAAAACGGAATGACTAACCGCAGTCGAGTTTGGAGAACGCATGACTCATTCTTCATTCCTCATTGACTTTTGATCTCCTAGAACGGACTCCGGACACATCTTTGCTGGTTGCATACCCCAGAACTCGTCTCCAATTTGAAAGTCTTCTTGTATCACATCCTTGGAACAAGCGACGCAGAAGAGATACAAGAGGTTGGCTTGTGGGGTGAAATCGAGGTCAACGACCAGCATTGACCAGCATCATGACGTCAAACGGCAAGGCGAGAAGCTATTCATGGTTCTTCTCGCTCCTAAAACCAAAAAAACCTCGGGTTCATCGGTCCATCGGGTTTGCCGTTCATCGCCAGGACTTGGCGATGGGGACGATGGAATCCTTGGCAGAGGTCGGGGGAGAAGTGGGGCCTTTGATCAAAACAGGTCTATGGATGGATGTGTTTAACCAATAGTCAAACAGCACCAGGTATTGGTTTTGTGATCTTGCTGGGGCGAAGGTCAAGTTCCTTTTTTGAAACAGTGGTTGGGAATGCACGACGAAGCCGCTTTGTCACACTTAAAACTTGCCCACATGTGGATGTAACGTATGGGTGTAGCAGATCCTGAAGCCATTTGATGATGGAAGAAGCAGCGACCAAAGCCACTACCTCAGTCATCGAAGCGATTGATTTTCCCTCCAGATCTTTTAGCTGAAAGGCTCAGAGGGTATTTGGATGTTTCGTGCTGGGATTGTTTGTCCCTTCATCATGCAAGCGGTGTACATGGGCCCTATGATGGGCCGTAGGTGTTCATCACAGGAGAACAAAGAGGCCCACTGAACAAATCTGTTCTCCCTTCTCATCCCTTCTCCGTGCAGAAGAAGATCTTTCACAGGTCTGGTCGCCTCCTATACGCGACCCCCAGAAACCCGGACCTATCGAGGGGTCCGGACCTTGAACCCTCGAGTCTACTCGGCTTCAGCGGGTGTGGGACTCCCCGGATCCGCCAGGTGATCACCAAACGCCGCGAGCCGAGCGACCGCGATGGGTGTGGAGCTTTCGGCCCGAAAAAGGGTGCGACCTGCGCGAGAAGGACATCGGCACAAAGGAGGTCGTCTTTGGGTGACGAACATCTGGTGATCCCTTTTGGTGTTATGTGAGAGAGAGTTATAGTATTAAAGGTTAACCAAAGAACTTATACTGAGATGACACTAAAACTGAACGAACCAAATCACTAGTCCTCCGTCTTGGACCCAGCAACGTTCGCGCCCGACCGGAAGAGCCAGAGCCCCGGAGCCTCGGTGTCCCGGACCGTTCCGTCGATTCGGACCTTCCGAGGTGCGGATCATCTTCCCCAACAAGCCCGACCGGAACGCCCAGAGAAGGGGGCGGGTGGTTTCTGGGTGGTTTCTGGGGCTTTTTTTGGGGTTTTTGGCGTTGAAAGGGGAGTGTTTCGGATTGATGGTGGTTGCAAGCATTTTGAATTATCTGTTGACCACTTCGGTGTCAAGGAGTAGACGCCCCCCAAACATGAAGGGTTTTCTATGCTAAGAAATGGGTGAACGATTAAACAGACTTTCAAGTGTGGCCGAACGAAGTCTTGGAGAAGGTTCACACTGAAGGCCATCCTGTTCCAGACATTGGAGCACCAGGAGTTTCAACCGTAACATCTACCTAGGCCCCCGGTTTCGGGGTGTCCAATAAATAGCTCCTTAGAGGTGATTCGGGGTGTCCATGAACCACCCCTGGCACCGGGGGGCCTGGTATAGCTACGTAGCTTCGCTTCGGCCCCGTTTCGATCGACCGAAGAGATTGGTCGAAGCGGAGACCGACCGGTGGAGCGTCCACGGCCGTGGCGAATCCACCCATTGTGGATGAGTTGTTGGGGGACGGGTTTGGACCCAAAGACCCGATGCCGCGCAGAAGTCAGGGCGCCATTGACCGACCGGTGTGAAACATTGTGGTTTCGACCGATGGCACTCCAGTCAGACCCCGAAAGGGAGGTGCTGACGGGTTTCGACCCATCGAGCCATTGAGCCATGTGTCTTTCTCTTTTGGTCGGTGAACATCGGACAGAGCCGAGGACATGCTTCGAGCGCGTGATATCCACTACAACAAGTGGTGAGAGCGCCAGCTCGGGGCGGGTGTTTCGGGGTCTCGTTGTTTGCCTTGAAGGGGCGATCAGTCAATCAGGGTGGAGGGTCGAGGCAGAGGAACCAGTTCCTCAGCACCAACTGACCATAACCCGTGCAAGTAGACATGTGTCAGTTGTAGAAACCACGCATTCCCGAGCCAATCAGGGTGAAACTGGGTGATCAGACTGAAACAAGGCAGTTCAAGGGCAGAACTCCTCATAGCAAGAAGGATCCCAACATCCCAACCCCCAAAGCCCCTTCGCGAAGGCAACAAATCACAGGCAGCCTGCTAGGTGAGTTACAAGGCCCACCAGGAGTTCCAAAGGGGTGGGAACTTTAGACCCGATCTGTAAGCTAGCTTTCCATCCAACTCAGGTCCTGATCCTTCCAACTCGGAACTATTTGGGCATTGGGCAGAACCCCACCCGAAAGCTTAACCCCCTCAAGCTCTTCGCAGGTCACTGCAGGTCACCCAGTGCCAGACCGCCTGGTGTTCCACCGCACCTGGAACACGCCGAACACGCCCACGCCCTCCGCAAGCTTGGGCTCCTCAATCGGACGCGGCCAAACTCCTCGCAGCCTTGCTGGTCTTTTTGTCGCATCATGCAGGTGGGGCGAAGGAGTTTGGGCACCAGGGTGGCAGGACGAGCGAATGGGTTCAGGGAGAGCGTCGGATGAGTTTGCAGCCGTTGAAGGAAAGCATGATGATGGGTGGAATGATAAAGAACCTCCTGCCACCCCAAACTCATCCTTCACCTTGAGTGAACCCGTCCTTCTTTTTAACCTTGAAGTATCTCGAAGTCACCTTCCAAGGTGTTGAGTTTCCAAGATGTTCCACCGGAAAGCTCTTCCATCAGATCGACCCACTTACCCCTGGACTTGCCGTCCTTCTCCCGCGCCTAGCGCCTTTAGTTCCGTCCCGGGATAGCTGCGTGTGTTCGTTGCGGAGGCCCTGCCGGGATACCAGACGCAATACCAGATTTTGAAGCCTGGAAGCGGCAAGGCGAGGGTGAACCAGCCGGGGGTGGTGGATGGAAGAGATGAAAGAGACCACTCCAAACCAAGCCACTCGAGTGATGGAGAAAGGTCAAGAAGAAATCAATATATAGTACGTAGTTTAATAGGCAATCGATTAAGTAATCGAACATACATGCATTATTAGTTATTATATGCATTATCATTAACAACTCCTCGATCCAAGGGCTCCAACCGTTTCGAAGGGGGGCGGCGTCCAACCTCGCGAGTCTGCTGGGCCCTCTTCCAAGAAGAGAGAGATAGAGAGAGAGAGAGAGAAGGCCACACGCACCATCTTCCAAGATAGTAGCAACATGTAACAACTGTTTTTGGTGTCTCCAATAGCGAATCCAGTTGAAATCCAGTTCAGTATGAGTCCCTCATAGTCTAGTCCAGGTGCAACGCATGGTCCAATGGTCTTGGTGAAGTTTTCACTTGGCGCCCAAACTCGTTTTCCGAACTTCCGCCACAGTGTGCGTGCCAGCCAGGCCATCACTGCCGGCTGCACGGCCACCGTCCATGCCACAGGGGTGGTGAAACAGAGCCTCGCACCAAACTGTAGTACGGAAATGGAGATCGAACGAAGTCCAGGGAGGGCTTGCGCGGCTTGCGCGGCTTGGCGCTTGGTGCGCTTGGTCCATGTGTTTCTTTCGACATCTTGGGAAGGTTCTGGGGTCTCGAAACTGCCACCCATTGTTCTTTTTTGTGATTTGCTATAGTGACTTTTGAGACTTCAGTGGTGGGTGCCTCGGAATCCTTTTCCGGCTGAAGAGGGCAGTGCAGCGCTTCTGTTCGTCAACGTTTCGGCTTGTCAAGATTGGGGTGTGGAGGGAAGTAAACTAGACCACCAATCGGTTGGTTGCGTTGGTTGTGTTGGTGGTCTCCCCTTGATGGGTTCACGTTACAGCAGAACCTCTTAAGGGTCAGGGATGACCTCCAAAGTCATAGACCAGGTTGACCCCAAAAGTATCCCAAAGTCATAGACACAGACATCGACGTCCAGAAAGCGCTCGTTACTTGGGATTTTCACGACGAAGCTGAGTCTTCCAGTCATGCAAGCTTCCCTTCATTTCACTGGCCTTGGAAGATGTGTTTTCTTTTACATGAGAAACTGCCACACCATCTCCATGCACTCATGGAGCACTCATGGATAGCTGCCCGGTCGCGTGTCGACTTTTTGACAGAGAACCCATGTCCGTCAATGGGACTTGGCAACATCCTGCTTTGTCTGAGCTGCTCCGGGATCCTAGATCCGTTCTCTTCATTCTGCACGGAGACAATAGACATTCGGAATTTTTGAGACTATGCGGCAAGGTTGCTATTCTGTACACCCATCAAAAGCAAGGCATCCAAGCAAATCATCACCAAGCCATCAGA